GACTAGATACTAGATTAGACTGTAATACAAATAGTTGAGTTTGCCAGGTGCATACAACATTTATGACAATGAAAGTGTTAAGTGTTGGTCAATTTGTCTGCTTGACAATCCCATTTTACACTGCAACAATAAAACTGAAGTGAGATAAACAAACTGAGAAATGTTTCTTTTTAGTTAAAACAGATGTTGTCAAAGTTTTCCTTTGGGGACATAATTTGAAGTTGGAAAAAGGTAATAAATTGCAATATATCGCAGAATATCTCAATATATTTAAAATCACAATAATATTGTATCGTGACACAAGTATCGTGATAATATCGTATCGTGAGGCCTCTGGTGATTCCCACCGCTGATATATATATATATATATATATAGGGGAAGGGGTTGTCATAGTTTTCGTCCTAATTACCCTTGATTGTATAGACTTGTCAAAGTGATATGAATTTAAACAATGTCTAATAACAGTTTCATTTTATTCAAATATAGAACAGTCAAAGAGATGACTTCTTGAAAGACCTGGAAAACATCACCATGGGCATATGTGTCATTAAAAAGGAAGGAGGTGTTCTTGGAGACTACGACGATATTGGAATCATTGCACTGTTTTAATGATTCACAAACAAACGTAATGTTGCCCGTTTCCACATGAATTTTTTTTATTAATTATTGTGCAATGTTAAGTCCGCACTACAGTTTTTAACTTTTATGCAGTTTTAGCATTGTTGTTTTAATGATTCACATTGTGGCCTCTTTCCACCTGTGAATTTTTGTTTTTTATTTTGTGAATGTGCAACGTTAAGTAAGCACTTGTTTTAAACATTTGTACCCACAAAGAAACTGTTATTGAACATGCACCTCATTTGATGACATTAAAGATAAGTTTAAAACATTAAACTTACTACTGTCTGTATTTGCAAAGCCATTTAAGGATCTCTCCTTCAGAATTTTTTTTTTTAAGGTAAGTGGTTGCAAACAATTTATTTTAAAATGTTGAAAGTTAGTCAACGAAATGTGTTTATCTAAATGTAGCTAAAATAAATTGATTGCAACCACTTACCTGAAAAAATGTTAGTAAATTCAATGAATACTTTTTTATCAGTAATAAATAAATAATTTAAGAGGAAGTAACATAATTAAATAGGGCTGAAATTACTAAAAAAAAATTTATACGAAGGTAACTAAATAAAATTTAAGTTCAACTAAATTTGTTTGTTTAAATTTAGATCAAATCAATTGATTGCAACCACTTACCTTAAAAAAATTGAGTAAATTCAATTAATCATTTTTTTCAGTGAGGTGACTGTCTAGAGTTACAATTGTAATTGTAGTATAATCCAATTTATTTACTTTTATATTTTATAAGTTCTATTTTGACCCTTTATAGTAGGTGTTTTGTTGTTTGTTTTGTTTTTTGAAGGAGGGGGCACAACACTATTCCGCTAAGGGCACCCATTTGGCCAGCAGCGGCCCTGTTACTGACTGAACATTTATCTGACCATAACTGCACTGTGAACGTTTTCACAAACCAAAATAGTGATGTAAATTAATCAGGGAAGGGTTAACTGACCAACACTGCTCTGTGGAATTTGTCAGATCAGAATTAGGTTGAGGGATCAAGAAAGGGTTAACTGACAAAAGCAATTCTGTGAAACTTTCGCAAATCAGAATATTGAAGCCAAGTACTCAAGGAAAGGTACAACAACCAAAACTTTATTGTCAAACAAAGTGTACAAGTGTATATGTGTATATGCTCATTTACCTAATGAATTGTAAACCGTTATTCACTGGAACAGCACCGTATGACATTATTATACAGAAAACGGGGGGCAGAGCAAAGAGAAACACTGCCACGCGATAAAATGCGATTGTGAAAGTTCACAAATCGAGCTCGACCTAAAACAATGTTGTTATTCGGTAACCTATTATTTGCATGTCTTTGACAGCGCACTGGGTATTGTAGCCAAAAGAAATCTGAATTTCAAACCGCAAACTATCTTTACTAGCGAGGCTACCTTTCAGAGCTCTTAAAAACAATAATAATAGATCATGTGATTTTAACATTTTAATTCATACATGGCAATAATATTGTATCGTGACACAAGTATCGTGATAATATCGTATCGTGAGGCCTCTGGTGATTCCCACCGCTGATATATATATATATATATATATAGGGGAAGGGGTTGTCATAGTTTTCGTCCTAATTACCCTTGATTGTATAGACTTGTCAAAGTGTTATGACTCTAAACAATGTCTAATAACAGTTTCTTTTTTATTTAAATATAGAACAGTCAAAGAGATGACTTCTTGAAAGACCTGGAAAACATCACCATGGGCATATGTGTCATTAAAAAGGAAGGAGGTGTTCTTGGAGACTACGACGATATTGGAATCATTGCACTGTTTTAATGATTCACAAACAAACGTAATGTTGCCCGTTTCCATTTTTTTATTTTTTATTAATTATTGTGCAATGTTAAGTCCGCACTACAGTTTTTAACTTTTATGCAGTTTGTTGTTTTAACACCTGTGAATTTTTGTTTTTTATTTTGTGAATGTGCAACGTTAAGTAAGCACTTGTTTTAAACATTTGTACCCACAAAGAAACTTATTGAACATGCACCTCATTTGATGACATTAAAGATAAGTTTAAAACATTAAACTTACTACTGTCTGTATTTGCAAAGCCATTTAAGGATCTCTCCTTCAGAATTTTTTTTTTAAGGTAAGTGGTTGCAAACAATTTATTTTAAAATGTTGAAAGTTAGTCAACGAAATGTGTTTATCTAAATGTAGCTAAAATAAATTGATTGCAACCACTTACCTGAAAAAATGTTAGTAAATTCAATGAATACTTTTTTATCAGTAATAAATAAATAATTTAAGAGGAAGTAACATAATTAAATAGGGCTGAAATTACTAAAAAAAAATTTATACGAAGGTAACTAAATAAAATTTAAGTTCAACTAAATTTGTTTGTTTAAATTTAGATCAAATCAATTGATTGCAACCACTTACCTTAAAAAAATTGAGTAAATTCAATTAATCATTTTTTTCAGTGAGGTGACTGTCTAGAGTTACAATTGTAATTGTAGTATAATCCAATTTATTTACTTTTATATTTTATAAGTTCTATTTTGACCCTTTATAGTAGGTGTTTTGTTGTTTGTTTTGTTTTTTGAAGGAGGGGGCACAACACTATTCCGCTAAGGGCACCCATTTGGCCAGCAGCGGCCCTGTTACTGACTGAACATTTATCTGACCATAACTGCACTGTGAACGTTTTCACAAACCAAAATAGTGATGTAAATTAATCAGGGAAGGGTTAACTGACCAACACTGCTCTGTGGAATTTGTCAGATCAGAATTAGGTTGAGGGATCAAGAAAGGGTTAACTGACAAAAGCAATTCTGTGAAACTTTCGCAAATCAGAATATTGAAGCCAAGTACTCAAGGAAAGGTACAACAACCAAAACTTTATTGTCAAACAAAGTGTACAAGTGTATATGTGTATATGCTCATTTACCTAATGAATTGTAAACCGTTATTCACTGGAACAGCACCGTATGACATTATTATACAGAAAACGGGGGGCAGAGCAAAGAGAAACACTGCCACGCGATAAAATGCGATTGTGAAAGTTCACAAATCGAGCTCGACCTAAAACAATGTTGTTATTCGGTAACCTATTATTTGCATGTCTTTGACAGCGCACTGGGTATTGTAGCCAAAAGAAATCTGAATTTCAAACCGCAAACTATCTTTACTAGCGAGGCTACCTTTCAGAGCTCTTAAAAACAATAATAATAGATCATGTGATTTTAACATTTTAATTCATACATGGACGGCACATTTCAGTTCATAAAATTGCTTTTAAATTCGTTGATTTCCTAAAAATACTCTATTGATTGATGTTTCCTAAAAGTTCAGTTGTTGCTTAATATCGAATAATGATATCCAATATTCACAAGGCATTCATATTATTTAAAACGTAGGTCTGAGCAGAAATGCAGCTCTGGTTTCGTGTGTGTACTGAAAACTTGTTTGTATTTCATTATCGACTGAAATGCATTTCTGATGAATTGGACATCAATACTAGTTTGAGCGACCGACTAATAATCAGTGTTTAACCTGATCAAAAATATTTAATGTTATCCGTGTTATATTTCATCTGCAACAATGTGAACTTTTAAATAAAGATCCGTTTGGACATTTTTAATGCATTATTTATAAAATAATTGTGTTTTTAAGTCAAATACAACAATTTAATTTGTTGTCCTGAAGCTAGCAAAATTGTAATATTAAAATATGAATAATATATCATATAAAATAAATTAATGTTTTATAACAATGTATTCATTATAAAACTCAAGACTTTTTTCCATTTTCATAAAAGTGTCTGCTATTTGAATGAATATCTTAAAGGGTCTTAAAGTTGTTGTTTTTCATATATAAATATAAGATATTTTTTTTAATGTATTTTTACAGAATCAACTTTTAACCAAAACCAATCCAGATCTCAGCCGATTATTTTATTTTTCTAGCAGACCAAACTCTAGCCAAGACGCTGCCAGACTTTTGCTTTTTATTTCTTTTGGTTGGCCAGACTCACGCCAGAGCTCAGCCTAATGCTGTTTGACGCAAAACTGAAAAACCAGAATCAAGTCAGTAAGAGTAAGAGTAAAAAGGTATCAAATGAAAAATCAAGTAGTGAGTTACTAGTTACCTCAGATCTGATTAAGGACAAAATGATGATGTTGGTGAATCAATGAAGCATGTATTACAATAGGGATGTTTTCTTATGTCCACGTGTAAGAAATTACCTGTCAAAATCTTGCTGTACGTTTTTTTTTTTTAACTAATTAAAATGGCATCTGTTTCTCAGTAGATAAACTTACTGTAGTATATCAGTAACAATGGTTTTAGTCTATTGTCACATTACCACAGTACAGTGACGGTATCATTTACAATATGTTACTGTGAAATATATTGTACAGTCATTACCCTGATTACCCAGCATTTTTACTTAATGGTCTGGTTCACTGATCATATATAAACATTTATTGGGAAATAAGAAATACATGAGCTGCATTTTTTGGAATCTTTCATGTTAACAACACCTGTGTATGCACTCTTTAAAAAAAGTATACAGGCTACATTTAGTTAGTTTAGTTTATTGTCCTTTCGGAAATTCTTTTTGTATCTGTGGCAACTCTTCAGTGATCAACAACAATAATTAACAATACAAACATCAACAGGTTACAACACATCACAAGTAAATACAACCAGCATCAAACAGCATCCCTCTCACAACAACAGAATCACTGCCATAGATGTAAAATGACAACTGTGATATCACAAAAATGTATTTAACAGAGCTATACTGGATGATATAAAAGATCTTTGTGCACGGGCAGTCCGTAATAATGGTACCCTGTACCATTTAATACAATATACCATTTCTGCTCAAAGTTTAACCCACTTGAAATGAAAAGCAATGCTACAGTAAACATCTCTGCAGGCAATCCACTTAAATTAATACTTCAATATATAATCTTTTAGAAATGTATGCATTTATTTGCGGATGACGTTCTAAGTTCTTTGTCACAGACCAAGCCGGAGACAACAGGTTAGTGAATGAATGGCAGGTTTATTGACAGGCGTTATGGCAGAATGACTGGTGAGTATCCAATACAAATGACAGTTCAATGAGTGATGTATGGTTCCTTTGTAGGTGCGCGGAGGGCTCGGGATCCAGGAGCGGAGGAGAACAACGGACGGAGATCTTCGGGGAACTAGAGGTAAGGGTAAACAGGTAAATAGCATGAGAG